TCTATGAGTTTTGGACCCCAAAGTTAAAACATCCACTAAACTACAAATCAGGACATGGAACATCCGCAGTCTTTATCAGGCTGGAAAGTTGACAAAAACGACTTCAGAAATCAACAGGTTGAACATTCTATGTCTATGAAACATAGTGACTAGACTGCAAAGATATCAAATCAGAACTGAAATACAAAAATAGTTTATTTGGGCAACCAGAATAGCAAACATAGAAATGGTGTTGGCATTATTTTTAAATTGCATGATCGCCTATAGGCGAAATTGATTGGTAAATAAAGAAGAAGAATAATTGAGATAATGGATATTTATTGATTGAAGTTCTTTTTTGAGTAGAGTTTTTGTCCCATACATTGACGTCAGATAACACTTAATCCAGATAAGCCGGTCTTCCAAAACAATCAACATTCAAAATCTTCTACTGGGTTTACCAGTAGAAGAACGTAAGAAATAAAATAGATGCAAGTGTTACTTGATAAATGTTTCCTAACAAGCAATGAGTTTTAACTTATACATTCTTAATATTAAAGATCAGTATTTTTAGTGATATCATTAGATTTTAAAGAAAATAGACTATAACAGCTATCCATAACCAGTCAGAATACCCAGAAAGTATTATTACTTTAGAACTTATGTAGAAGATCATGTATTAGTTTACCAATATTAATTACTGCTCTTTTAAAAGATAAGATATTTCTTCAGGATAGAATTACAGGTATGTAGATATCTTTCTGAATGCGTGAAGAGTATATGAAAATTACAACAGTACTTTAACACTAAGTAAACAAAAAAAATGATGACATAAAAATTTCTTAATGATTGGGTCACACCCCCGGTCTTGTTTTATTGCTATTATGTTCTATGGTTCGATTATTACATTTAGTGTAATCATCATCGAGGCGAAGGACCTAGCTGTCCTGTTCCTTATTCTTAGTTACCCTTAAAATTAATTTTAATGTTAACTGTCAATAAATAAATAAAAAGTAATTATTGTAATCTAATACAAATAAAAAAAACTTTTAATTGTCTGAACCTCTATCCATAAAAGTGTTGGAAAACAACTATCTAACATCCAATAATACAATAAGCATTTTACACTGAAGCTTTAGTAAAGGAAAAATAATACAAATTAAATTATTATTTTGTCTCCCTCTTTATAATTTATAAGGTGTTTCAAAAATAAATAATAGAATAATTTGAATTTATTTCTTCTTTAAATATTGCTAAAACTACAAAATTTCGTTTACTCCCAATTGTTGCCAATGAATATCTCAAGGATCGTCTTACCCGCCCGTTTACTCCCACTTAATTTCATCGTAAAAATGCCATTAATAATGTTTCATCACTGTAGTTATTTACTCTCCACCAGAAATAGTAAAACATAATGAACTTTCCAGAATTGCAAGCATTTTAAACCCACAAAAGCATGGCTGATAATTGCATCCGAATATGTGATGTCAGAAATAATTACCATTAAAATATCTTGAAAATACCTTTTAAAGAAGTGCAGTTCAAACGTTTTGGAATATTTTAAATTGCAAAACTGAAAAATGCAAATGAAAGAGCAAATTAAAAGAGGAAAATTTTAAATTTGCACAAATTTAACAAAAAGTACTGAGCTATAAACTGAAATGAGTTGCACTGTGGTCCGCACACTCCACTGACCAATATCTGAGCAATTTTTGAGATATCGCATCCGTTGTTCGGCGAAATAAACGAGATAAAATTGCACGTCACTTATGCGCTTAACACAAACGGAAATGCAATTAAAATTTAACAATCATACCACGCCAAGCTCGGACCTTTCGTTCCGTTTCGTTAAGGTGATGTGTTAAATACTTGCAAGTGTGAAATATCTGCAGAAAATATTTCGGCAATTTTATATCTTGTATCTGCTACTTGTGCACATTTGTAGTTGCACTCAAATAAACGGCATGAAATAACGTTTTTGTAAGTGAGATGAAATATAACGATGGGCATATACTCGTATAATGTACTAGAAATTTTAAATAAACGAGATCATAAAAATATTGTTTATAAGCACATCTTAATGTAACATATGTTGAGATACTTTCTTTAGTAGCAGATATCATTCGAAACTTCTTCTCAAAGTATGATATTTTATTTGTCATGTTATTGTTATTTCAAATAATGAATTCCAATATTCGACAACATTCTATTAAATTTATGATAATCATAAATACTATTGTTATCGATGGTTATGCACCGTGCTTTAAAACATCAATTGTGATCTATCTGAAGAGGAAGAACTTTTCTTCACACAAAAATTTATTAACTGTTTATCTTTTAGTTCAACACCCATCGACTAAAGTTCCTAAACTTTTTCCATCCAATAAAAAGTAAGTGAAGATGTTGCTTTCATATCCACCAACAACTAAACTAAATGTTCACATTATGCTCTACGAAGTCTAGAGAGGTTTAAATACTTTAATCTAACCTACAAAGGCTACTGTCAAGTACATTTTGCGAAAGAGAGGCGTCAAACGTCAGTTGACTGTGACAGTGTAGCTACAAACCCAACAAATTCACCATAACCCAATTATTCAAAGTCCGCCAACTGACAAAAAAATCCAAAAAAATGAAACCAGTAATATTTTTGATCAAGTGGTCTTACCACTTTTGTTACTACGGCTACAACCACTTTTAATACCGGAATACCTGATATTTTAATTCAAGCAAAGCTATATACCAAAAACTTCAAAAATAGCATAAAATTTCGAAAACTCTTTAGAAGTTCTCAAAAAAAAAATTTCTGAAGATCTAAAGTCCCATAGGATTATTAAAATAAGTAGATATATTTATAAGCTATATGAACAACATTTATATGGTTAAACGTACCATAATCAAGGGTTCCACTGATATGATCATATATTGTAAAAAGATATATTTCAATTAGAAAGATGTTTCGTTCAGTATTCGTTGGTGGTAAATGCGAGAGAAAAGGTTCTCATTTTCTGTAAAAAAATTAGGATTCGTAGACGCTATTCAGCTTGACTAGCGAAGGCTACTAAATATTGCATACTGCAGGTTTATAGAGATTAACTAAGTACGTTAACTAAGTTATCAGGAACTTGAATTTTTTTTTCAGAACGAAATCATAAGCCAGTTGTAAAATAATTACATTAAAAATTTGTATTTTTTATTCCTAATCGTTCTAATCGCTAAATTTATATTCTCAACTTAATTACGTCTATAGGACAATTGAAGAAGTTACTTATAAAATTAATGTAATAATATACGTTACTCTATAAAACGTATATAATATAATATATGAGTGTTATTAATCTTCCCACCTCTTTACTTAAAGCTTCGTATAACTTAAGATAAGAAAACATAAGCCTATCCATTAAAATTAATTTACTGCTATCATCCAAACAAAACTGTACAAAAATGGCTTTAAAAAAAATTTGTAACCATTTTTGGAAAAAGTTCCAAGTACATATTTTAAACAAAAATGATGTTCCAAATAAATCCGTGTAATAAATGAATGCTCTTTAACCATGTCAACAGTGGGCACATGGTGCAACGTTTATCTGCCACTTACCATAAAATAAAAACAGCAACACTCTGACAGTGGTAGACAGTTTGGCTAAATGGTAAATGACGTCCGTCGTAAAGATTGCAAGATGCGCACTAATGTCCAAAAAATGAACAAAAGTAGCCAAAAAATTATGCTAAAAAGGTTAAGCGGCTTTGTAACTCTAAAACCAAATGCTACTGTACTTAAGAATGGTGAATTATGGAAATCGTATAAAAGCAGCCGAGAAGAAAGTAGCCTAAAAAGAAAAATCTACCAAAACCAAGAAGGAAACAGATTACAAACAAGGAAGACATCTCAAGGTGTGCAAAAGCCTTGCAATAATCTTCCAAAAATAAATGCAAATGCTCAAATGACACAAATGTTGCACTCTGTTAAAAAATACTAAAACTATAAGGAAAACTACTGGTGCTAGGCATCATTAAAAGATAGTTTGGCATGATTTTGAAAAATATGCGACTCTGAACTAACTTAACTTAAATTAAGGTTTCACCAGATTAACTACATAATTTACAACGAGAAGAAATTAACACCAATCTAAGTACTATAAAACATGGCTTCATAGTATAGTATGGATTTAATAGTAGGAAAATATATAATATGGATATAATAATGCAAAAGTAGAAATGTGAATACTAATAGCTAAGTGTATGCACTTTCTGGTAAATTTTGTTGATTTTCGCTAAAGCTATAAATGAAATGACTTACTTAAAGTAAGATTTAACAAAAAAAAAACAAGGTTGAAAAAAAACTCCATAAAAAATGGAGTAAAATATAATTGTGAAAAACAATAAATTATACATTTAAAGCTAAAACTAATTAAAGATATACTGTTGAAAACAGAAATATTGATAGGTTGGTACTACATTAGACGTTTCCTAGCAACATTTACACAAAAAATCTCCAATATCTCTAACATAAAACCTGTTTTCCGCCAATTAAATATTCTTAGTGAAGAGCTCAATCGGACTCTGTGTTTCAAATTTGGTAGGGCACGAGTTCAACAAAGTTTTTGAAGTAATTATAAGAAATAATTCCAAGACCACTAATGACGGGTATTACGGAATATACAAAATAGGTGTAAAGTCAGCTAAAACTTTAATTCATTAATGAAATAATAGCATTTTATTGCTGTAATTCACTACTATTGAAAATATCTCTCTATTAAAACAGTAGTT